TTAGGAAAATAATTAAAATTTGGAGAAGAATTTTGTTACTTATAAAGATAATTGGGATTTTTACAAAATTTTTTTTTTCAAATTTTGTACATAGTGGAATTTTATAAGAAGAATTTTATTTATTTTTTTTAAATAGTTGAATTTCTGCAATTATTTATTGTAATTTCTCCAAAACTGAATTTTTTTAGTGTTTTTAACAAAAATTTTAATTAGAAAGTTTTCAAATTCTATTATTTTTAAAATTGCTAGTATTGATTAATTTGAAATTCATATTTCTTACATGATCGTTTTTTCTCTAAAATATCAATGTCATTTTTCTCATCATCAAGTGTAGGTAGTGGGCGAATTTCTGATTCTCCATCTTCAATAATAATAATCAAATCTAATTTAGAAATAAATAAATTATTAAATATGAAGGTAATTGAATAAATACGTAAATAAATAATTATGTTTTGTATTAATTAATAATAATACAAATTATGTGTACGAGGATAGATTAATTTACCGTCTGATTCCAAATCAGAAGCATTCGATACTTTCAGATTGCTTTTCACTTTAGCATTTTTCATTTTTGTACCAGAAGTGGAAGCAAGGTTTGAGCCAGTCGAAGAGTTAACAGATTCTTTTCGAATTTTGGAACCAGAAGCAGAATTGTTTGAAGAATTGTTTAAGGGCTCTATGGCTTTTTTCCCCAATTTTCTGGAGGTGGAAGTATCAAGTCTTCATTACTTTTTTCTAGAATTTTAATCTATTCATCATCTAAATACAAGAAAGAGACTTCTGATGGAGATCCTCCTCCAGTTGAATGCAAATTTTTTTTTTTTCTAAACTGCATTTATTTTTCACATCGGCTTTCCATTCCTTCCATATCTGTAGGTAAATGTAATTAAAATATAAAACCTGTTAAAATTTTTTAATCTAAATTATTTCATTTATTGTTACTATTTATACATTTATTTATATATATATATATATATATTTATTATTATTTTTATTATTATTATTATTATTTATTATTATTATTTTTATGAAATACCATTTATTTGTTTTAAATTTATTTATTTATTTTTATTAATTATAGTGAACTGAATATTATATTTACTTTCTCCCACGATTCCGCGGTATTAAAAATTCCATTCTTCTCTTGATTCAAGCGATTGAGGTTAAAATTTGCCATAAATTTTTCTATAATAAGTAGAAATTTTTTGTTTAATATTTATAAATAAATAATAAATTGATAATTTTACTTACAGGATAAATATAGGTTAATATTGTTTAATTTAATATATATTGATGATGCTTACATTCGCAACTTGTCTACCTTTTCCTGCTTTAATTTTTACATTTGTAGCAAACTCTCTATTATTACTCATGAAACGAAAAAATATAGCTCGTTGTAAATTCGTTTCAACTTTGATTAAAAGACTAACACTTTAATAAGTCAAATAATAAATGAATTCATTTTTTGCAATAGGAAACTTCGATGTGTTTAGTTATGATGTGAAGAAGGTCACATAAGAATTTTAACTTTTAATTTAAAAATTAGATAACAAAATTTATTCATATTTATACTTTTTCAAACATATTATTATTCTTTAATTTTATTCAGATCACATGCGAAGTAATAATGACCAATTTACACTTTCTGCAAATAAAAATTTATTCTAAAAGGTTTAATAGCAGATAAAGAACAAACGATGAATTAAAGAGAAAGAGAAACAAAGTTCGAATGTAATAAAAAACAAAATTAGAAATGTATATTAAATTCAATATTTAATATATTAATAATATTTAATATCTTTACTAATAATGAAATATACCATTGTAGAGTATTGAAATAATTTATTAACTTTTAATAAACTAAAAAATGAAATTTTTCATTTTTCAAGAGAATAAAATTATTTGATAAACAGAATTAAGTAGACTAAAAAAACATTAAGAAAATAAATTATAAAGAATTATTCTTTTTCTGCAATAATTTTAAGATAAGTAACTATGTCTTTAAAGTGTCTTGAATTTTCTTCATGTTTCTTCTTCTTAAAATCAAATTCTTCTTTTCTCAATTCTAGATCCTGTCTCTTTAAGTCCAATTTCACTTGCAATAATTTCAATGCAGTTTTATCTATCATGAAATAATTAGAAGAACTATTAATAATGTGAATAAAAAATTATAAAAAAATACATTTGTATATCAATTATTATTTAAAGTTAAAAATTCACGTGATTACCACAATAACTCAATATTATGAGATACCTTTGTAATTTCCTTTTTATTAAAGGCTCATTTAGCCTTTATTAATCTATTAATAAATATGTAATCTTAGTTTTTAACTAACAATTTCATTTTATAAAAATTAAAAATGTATAAAATTTAATATAAGTATACTTTTAACTGGAAACTCATTTTTCTGAAGTAGAGGTTTTTCTTCTCTTTTTGGACTGCTTACTGGTCCTACTGAAGTAAAAGTTTTTAATTTTTTATATATTTATTAGTGTTGCCGCAAGACGAGACAAGACGAGATTTTTTTCAATCTCGTCTCGTCTTGAAATGTCAAGACCATCAAAGAGTCTTGTCTCGAAAAAGTCTCGTCTTGAAGTCTCGACATTTTTTCCATTCCCCCGAATCTATTTCCCCGAACATCTTTTTTACCGAATGGACTTTTCCCCGAATGTCAACTTTACCGAAAAGTTTTTCCCCGAATCCCATTTTACCGAACAGACAACATCCCGAAAATAAAAAAAGAAAGTAAAGTATTTAAAATGATAATTAAATATTCTGATAAACAAATATATATTTATTTGGTGTAAATATTCAAAACATTGATTGTATGTAAATAATTGTAGTATGAAATTAGTGTAAAGAAATATAAAAACATGACATGAAAAGTTTTTTAAGAATATTATAGGTCTGCGCGACTTCATCACAAGGGACGAAAGCTAGAGCTAAAATCATGTGGGTTTGCTCTTTTAATTGCCGATCAAGTGGATCATTATACTATACTTGCAAACCTGTCTCTTGAACTTTGCGGTACAACGACTGCCCAAGGTGAAAGAAGCAACAGGAAATTTGAACATTTAGAAAGACTTCGGAGCATGCGTTTAAAATCCCTTTTTCAAAGTCACTCATAATTTTTGTCGGTTTGAAATTATCTATTCTGTAATCTAATGCTGTAGACTGTATCGCGCGCAAAACTTGAGTATATTGTGCGGTTTCTTTCGAATACAAAAGAGCATAAACTAATGGCACAGCAACAATGTCTTTTTCCCCTCGAGTATTTCTCTTGCCAGTTCCCAGGATGGTAAAAACTTGGGTGAAAAGGCTCGGACAAACCTACGTAATAAAACAAGTTTTTCAGAAATTAATAATAAATAAAAAAAATACAAATAAATTATGTAAAAGTATTATAAAATATTTACTTTAAATGTTCCATCCAAAAACCAGCAGACACAATAATTTCTTCTCCTGGTCGAGGTACAGAAGTGATTGCCCGTGCAGTGCATACCTTATCACGTACCTTCACGCAATCCCAATATTTACGTCCTTTTATTGTCTTCGATGTTACATAAATGTAGCCTCCAAGAAGAAGTTTATTATTTGCAACCTTTGCCATATTCACTTACAATTTAGAACAAAATTTTGGAGTCAAAAATGTGAAAACATTAAACTAAACCTCTAAGTTATGCAACTGTATTTATTTACTACGGTTGCTAGGGTGACTTCAAAAAAACAATAGATAGTTAACGAAAACATATATTTTCAAAAAATATTAAATTCGGGAAAAACGATGTTCGGGGAAAAGGATTCGGGGAAAATGCATTCGGTAAAACAGTATTCGGGGAAAAAATTTTCGGTAAAGTTGATATTCGGGGAAGTGTCCATTCGGGGAAATAGATTCGGGGGAATGTACGGTAATCGTGATATCCTAGGGATATCTCCAAGATATCCCGACATCCCGTGGGATATCCCAGGAATATCCCAGGGATATCCTTTTGTTATGTGGGAATAAGCAGAACATGGAAAATTAAAAAATAATTAAATGTTTTAATATTTTCAAAGTTTGCTAAACACAAAAAATTAAAACTTTTTTTTCAATTCTAAGAAGTTAATACTTATTCCAGTATTTTTGGTAAAATTCTTTGATTTCCTAGAATAATTTTAGTTTTCCTAATTTTTTTATTAAATTTCCTGTTTTCTGAACCTGTAGTAGGATTACATATACCCGTGTAGAAATTTTGGCAGGGGCCTGGCCGGGGCCAGACCGGGCTTCCCTAAGTCGGGGTGAAACAATAAAACCGACCGGGGCCATGGCGACAGCCCGATTTGCCCCCGATTTGACGAGCTCCCAGACCGGGGCCCGGTCGGGTTCCCTGTTTCATGCGGGGTCAGGGCCCGGGCGGGCAATTTCTGCACGGGTAGGATTACATATATTTTTTTTATAGGGTAAACCAGACAGTAGTCGGCCACCGGCTCAAAAACCGTTAAAAACAATGATTACCGTACATTCCCCCGAATCTATTTTCCCGAATGGACACTTCCCCGAATATCAACTCCCTGGGATATCCCTTGGATATCCAAATTTCCGTCTCGAAGGTAACCCGCACTGGATATCCCAGGGATATCTTATGCGAGATTTGTCTCCCAGGATTTCGTATACGAGATACCCTACGCGGGATATCTGTGGGATATCCCACATGGAATATAATAAAATTTAGCTGGAAATTTCGAAATGAAATTAAGCTTTATAAATTTTCCAAGCAAACAAAATGATTAAATACACAATTATAGTCATAATAATATTTTATTATTAAATTCTCTTTTAAATAAAAAAGCATTTATATTTTTACATCTCAAAAAAAGTTATTTATATATCATCTAGTATCTCTAAGAAAACTTAGTTGTAGTATTTACACCTTTAAAACACATTAACATTATGTTATTGTAGATAAACTTTCAATTAAAAATATAATTAAATAACATTTTTAAAATTATTTTAGTCTGAACTCTTGAATCTGTCTAACGATTAATTAAAAAATGTTTGAAAGAATTTTTTTATCACTCTGAAATTGAAACAAGTGTTTTACACTTATAGTATAGTTAATTCTCGACAGGTTTATCGGATTGAATCTCAATAGTCGGAGAATTTGTGCCATGATTAGATGAATCTGAGATATGCATTGAATTTTGAAAGTTTATTTCGGTATCCATATAGGGATCATCACTTTCTCCTTCAGTGTCGCTCAAATTAATAGAAAGTCGCTCTTGGTCTGATGCATAAAGATTTTCGCCATCATGCTCACCGTCCTCATCAGGCTTATTGTTTTCTGACTCTCGAAGGTGTCTAGCAGGTGCGTGGCGAAGCCAATCTTTGATAGCTTCTATCACCTCAATTTCTTTGACTCGACATGATTGGCGAACGGTTTCTATAAGGTTTAATAAAAATGTTGTAAACAAATTTAATTAAAATTTTTATTACAAAAATAATTGATAGATAAATTTTTAATCAGAAAGTCATATTTTGATCCAAGTTTATTTAATTTTCATTAAGATTAAAAATAATTATTATCGTTTTCCTCTTCTTTAATATATAAAAGATAAAGATATAAAAAACGTATGTATTGACTTATATAAAGTATGAATAATTATGTGTAATGAATTATTGCTTACCCATTATTACTGTAGTTAAATGTAGATCTGAGAACTTTAATTTATTTTTTAGTCCCAACCAATCAAATAAACTTCCAATTGCGTTGGTAAAAGCATATTTCATGACTGTATACGTAGTTTCCTTCACATGTATCCCTCCAAAACCACCGAAGAAAGAAATCTAAACAATAAAAATTATTGGTCAAAATACTGAGAAGATAACAAGTGGCAATAAATTTTTTTTAATATTTAAGAACAATTACCTAGACAAAAAAAAGTTTTGATAATTTCAAAAAAAACAAAAACAATAGATTTACCCGTAAAACTGAAATGAAATTATAATCAGAAAGATTAAGAAAGACTCATCAATAATTTTTGATGAAATAAATATAATTTATATTGATAATTTAACGTAATAGAAAATATAATTATTTAAATTTTTATTAATGACAAGTTTTAACGTCGTAAAAAATGTAAATTTTTTATAGTTTAATATAATTAACTATTTAAAATATTTTTTTAAAGTGACATTTTAATTATCAAAAAGCCACATACCAATTTTTAAAATTTTAATAATAAAAAATTAAACGTGTTTTTGTTTATAAAAAATAATAAAGAATTATTAATGTTAAAAAACGAGACATACACTTTGAAAACAAATATTATTCTAGATAATAATAAAATTAATTTAAAAAAACCTGAACTTGAAAGAGTTATTACGAATGAGCGAAATAGATTAGAGAATAAAACTCACCATATCATTTCTGTATTCTGGTAATGTAAGTTTGTCTTCGATTTTTTGTAAATTGTCTAATGTTGCGACTGGAAATTGTGAGTGAAACTGACTTGACCGATCCTTTTTCACATGTTTTTGAATTACTTCTGATTGACACTCTAAAAATCGTTCATTGAAAATGGCACTTTCTGAATGCTTTTCATGAAGTTTATCAATTTTTTCGTTTTGAATGTTTAACATGAATTTTATGTCACTTAAAGACTTAGCGATATTTTCTCGAAATGCTTGAACTATGAAATAAAAAAGAATGAAATGAAAAAATGAAAAATGTATATATTGGATTTTAAACAATTTTGCTTACCATCAGACCAAGAAGTAGTTTTTGCTCGCTTTGGACTGTTCTCGGAAACATTGTTTTTCTTTGGAGAGTAATCATTTGCTTTTGATTTTGTGGAAGATTTTGTGGAAGGCGACTGAACTACTTTTGCACTATTTTCATTGTCAGTTAATCCAAGAGGTGGTTTTGGAAAAAGAGTTAATGTTTTTTTAACTTTTAAAGAAGGACATGTAAATGTAATTGTTCTTGTGGTTTAAAAATGTTCTAAACATTAAAAATACAGCAGTATATTAATTAAAATTATATTCTGAATTTGCGCTTGGAATTACTATACTTAAAACCTACAGTGTGAACGAAAATAAATAAACCTATATCTTAACTTAAAATATTATATAATTGTAAACAAAATTTCGTTAATGAATTGTTTACTTCGGCAGTATTGTAAATAATAATATTTGTTTTGAGATTATATCATGAATTTCATCATTGTTATTACTTAACACAATGCACGTGTTTCTCAGTGAAAACAAAAACTTCGAATTTTACTAATAGATAGAAATTTACGAACAAACATTTTTTTTAAAACTTACACTGTCTAATTCAAAGTACAAAAATTAACAATTATGTATAGTCTTACCATTTCTCATGATATTTTTATTGAAATGTATGTAAACTTACCGGCTTCTGCAATTTCTTCCAAGATGGCTTCTTTCGTCCATGTAGATTCCGGCATCTTTTTCGTTCTCACTGTGTTATAATACGCATACATGGATTTACACGTAGGATATAGAATGTGTTTTTTCGAAGGCGTCATCCACTCTCGGCAGACGATTTGAGGTCCATCGTTAAATAGTATGATTAAATAATCCTTATTCTCCATTTTGATTACCGATTTTTTGATATTTCAAGTGCACGATACACATGTGAGCACGCCGATTCCCTCACGAAAGATAAAGGCCACGAGGCAACGACAATCATACCAACCATCTAGTCTTAAAATCATAAGTGCTTATTGACGCTTGCGCACTTTCTGCGCGCAATAATGAGCAAGCGCTAATTTGTCAAACTGGCGCAGGCTTATTTAAAATAGCATAATTTAATTCATTACAGATATATAAATTCGAAATAAATCAATAATAATGGTAATAATTTAAAAAAATTATTCTTCTTGGAAAGGAATAAAATAATTATGAAGACAGAAAAACCTTTAAATAAATAAAATCAATTTTATGAAACTATTTAAATTAAATTAATTTATAAATTTTATTAATTGTTGCATAAAATTTTTTTAATATTTTAGCAATATTAAAATATTAATATAACATTTATGAATGATTTAAGGGTGATTCTCCCGAAATACTCCTTTTTGTGAGTTACAAACAGAAAAGAAAAAAATTATTATTTATGGATTAATGCAGTCAATTATATTGAGCTTTCAAAAATCTACCACCTCTATAGCATGATCATGCTAACTTTTAGCTTTTAAACTATATATTTTAAATTAAAATTTTCAAAAAAATTAAGAGGTTAAAATTTGGCGCCGGCGTTTTTTATTATATATATTTTTCTATTTACAAAAAATTATTTAAAAATTATAATTTATTAATATTATCTATAAATTTTATAGATTTTGAAATACTTACAGTTATCAAAAATCTCTTTAAACAATTGTCAAAAATTATTTTTCATACATTTTAGGTTCACTTTTCACTGGCAGTTTGTAAACAACCGACAATCATATCAATTTTTAATTTTTATTCAAAAAAGTGAGAGGAATCACGGGTGAGAGGAATGACGATTTCAACATTTTTTAATTTTATTTAATTGACAAATAATTTTCCTCCAGCTTAGAATGCCCTATCATGTTTATAAGGGATAACTTTATGTGAAAAAAATTTGCGATCAATTTATATATATTAATATTGTTTTTATTAGGGGTGAGAGGAATGACGCTTTAGGTTGTGAATCTCTGCTTATGTCTCAATTTAAATTTTTTTAACGCAAAATAATGACATTTTTTAAAAAGTAACTTAAGAAATTAATATTAGAGATGTTAATTTAAATATTGATCACAATAATTAAGCAATATCTCTACCCACAGCAAAAATATTGGATAATATTCAACGAGTGAGAGGAATGACGCGGTACTACATGACAAATTTCATTTTCTATATTTAAAAAAACTACACGACATATTTTATTTATATTTTTGAAAATTATTCTTAAATATCATAACTTTTAGAAAAAATTAATAAAGTACCAATTTTCATGTTTTAAATAATTGTTTTACCTATTGAAAAAATGAAAAGCACTTAGATGACAGGTTAGAAAATCGATTTTGAGGTGGTAAAATATTTTAAAAATGTATTAAACAATAAAATTTTACAACTTTTTCTTGCAGAACATTTAGAAAAAGTGATAAAATAGGGAAATATGACTTGGTATTTTCCCAAATGATTATAATTATTTAGAAAATCTTGATTACATGCAAAATGAGGTTTTTTGGAGAATCACCCTTAAATAAAATTTTTATATAAAAATTCAGATACCTAAAGATATTTTTTTAGAATAAAAATTTTCAGATGAAAAATTCTAAATTTGCATTGAAAATTCAATTAAAATGGTTTCAGTGATTAAAAAATTATTCTTATGATATTCATAATTGTTATCATGTATTGAAACTACTTTTTATTTATTATTTATAAAAAAATAATAATTTTTATTCGTTAATTTAAAATATCGCAAATTTTTATTTTATTTTTACAAAAACGTATTTAGAATACTTTACAGTTCATGTAACAATGAGCTGACAACATATTCTTCGTTTCCTGCAGGCACAATAATGTATTTTCTGACAATGTGTTTTAAGGGCCATACTTTGCTGTGACTTAAGTTTTTCACAATGTATTCTTCAACTGCAGATGATTCCAAGGGCTGTTTGTAAAGATTGCGTCTATTCCTAAAACTTTTTGCAACAATTGCGAGTTCGTTGCTTTCGGAAAAGTGAGCGATGTTTTCAATAAGAACAATATCACCATTTATTAATCCGAAACAACTATCTGCCAATTTCGTAATACTTATTTCGAATCCTCGTAAAATTATTTTCTTATATTGCGGTGAATGGGTGTTTTCCAATAGTGGACCTGTACAATGTTCTGAGAGTGGACACAGTTGAACAAGAGCTGCTTTCTCTTCAATTTTCTGATTGGCATTCGACAAAAATTCTTCGTATCACCGAACTAATTGTTTGGAGCGGCTTTTCTCCTTTCCGCATCCATTTCTTCAAATATTGCATGTAATTTTCAAAATTAAACGCTCTAAAATTATCCAATTTCCCGAAAGTTTTGACGTCATCTGCGAGGTGCAGCAAGCCATGCATATTGTGTGAAACATAATGTTCACCAAAAAGTGCAGCCAAAGATTCAACAAAATGGAAAAGAATTTGCTCCGCATAGTCAACGTTTTCCTCATTCTGTACAAAATAATCACTTGACAAAATTCTAATAGCAACATGCAGTGTGTTGAAATGATTGTACAATGTTGTTGGTAATATTTTTTTCAAAACCATGCATCCATTGTACAACAGGAACTGCCTAAATTCCGTTGCTTTCCAGAATTTTAAATCCTTCAACGATCTCGGCTTTCTTTGAAATTCTTTTGGAATATACTTTCTCAGAAAGCGTAGATTCCTAGACAGTTGTTGAATTTGCCACGTTCGTAGACGATGTTTAGAACGTAATACTACGTACAAGTAAATCAGAGCTTTTGTACAGCCAAGACAAACAAGTTGCATGTAATCCAAGGGAATATTTTTGACAAGATTGAAATTTTGGATTCGACGCAAACAACAACGTCCAAATTGATGCTTTTTGTCTTGCATATAACGAATGTTTTCATCAGTCCTTTTTCTCAATCGTCTGCGCTTGTGTAGAAAGCAAACTCGATGCATTTTGTATTTTTCTCGTATTTTACATCTGGTACAACTGCAGTATCCTGAATGACCTTTTATATTTAAAATAAAAGCTTTGGCTGGAGCATCAGCAATAATACAGTTGATCTGACACTGCAAAATTTTCCCTTCGAACTCTAAACCTAATGGTTTAATTCTCCCAAAACTTGAATTTCTTTAAGAAATTCATCCAAGAAATCTTCTGCTGAATGAGGTTTTTCATGCCCAAAATAGACACCAACAAGAAATACGTCAGAAAAGGGTTCCACGCAACGAAGAATAGGCCAAAATTGTGCTTTTGATGATTTTGATATTGGAACTCCGTCGATGCCAATTTTTAAAAGAACCTTTTTAACTGATTGATCCGCATGTTTTTTAAGAATATTTACTATTCCATTTTTTAAACCTAAATGATAATACAATCTGGGAGTAAGTTTTTCAACGTTCGTTTTACCAGCTGGAGTACCGAGAAGTGTTCTTAGATCTTTTGGAATATCCTTATGAAAGCATGCGTGATCTTTTAATTTTCGAAGCAAAGGTCTCAATTGCGCATGAGACAAACCGTATTCAATTGACTAATTTTTTAAAACTGTTTTAAACTTTCCCCTTCAGAAATATTTTCTCCATTAGGAGAATTTTCAAAATCAACGTCAACGTCGACGTCGTTTAATTCATTAATATTTGAGTCGAAAGTGAAGGCAGGTGTCGTACGTACATTACATGTATCGTGATAATTTGTACCATTTTCTGCTTCTTCATTTTCTGATGAGTACTCATCTGATGATGTATCGTTTGAAAGTGGAGGATTGTGAAGAAGAGAATGAAAACTAAGATTTCGAGACGATCGGTTTCTTATTTGGCGTTTGGTTAAATATGTAATCGGCTTCAGTCTTCTTCGTACCATGGTTTATTATTTTTCTGTAAAAATAAATAAGAGTTTCAAAAAAAAATTTAAATGTGAAATACTTTAGAATTTAAAATTTCTAATTCGTTTTGTATCTATTTATTTATGAAATTTTATGTAAAAAAATATAAAGTATTAAGTTTGTATTTACTATGAAAAATATTGTGCATTGTAAAATTGTACGAATCAAGAAAATTGTATATACACTGCAAAAAATTCCAGATATGAATATATAGCATGTAATTTTACACTTTGGAATAAATAGGAAATTTACAATGTCCCCAAATGTAACATAACTTTGTCCAGTTAATTTACAAAGTGCGACATTGTAATTTCTGGATTTTTTGAAAAATTTGGAAATGTCCAACGTTGAAATAAGTGGCCAAGCATCCGACGTTGGAAATTTTATTTGTTAATGTGTATCTTTTCAGCAATCTTGATTAAAACTTAATTATTGATTAAATTAAGTAAGTCAGGACTACTTCTTTACTCATATTGCAAATTTTATTTGGTTTTTTTGTTATAAGATAATTAAATACTTAATTAATAGACCTATAACAAATAAACATAACATAAAATAAAAGTATACTACCTAACCTAAGAGATGACATTTAGACTATACACTTACTCAAGATTTAGGTTATAATTCACAATCCACTTTGAAATATACAAGGGGCTTGTATTTTTACCGTGTATGACGGGTGGTCACTTATTTCCAGTGTCTGACGTTGTAAAATAATACACTAGAATTTTTTGCAGTAAATATAAATATATGTGTGTTATATTAATATTATATTAATTAATTAATTAATTAATTAATTAGTGTATTATAGTAATATTCATGCGATTTTAAGGTTATGTTCATGTAGAATTACATACATAGTTTATTATATCTATAGGCTATTAGATAAATTGTAAAATTTTATTTAATTATTTATGTTATGGATCATGCACTATAACTTGTGTTAATGTACAATTATTTAAATTGACTCAAGTTATAAAGATTATATATATATATATATAATATGTATACATACTGTTGCTTTGAGGTTATGCACGTGTGAAATATAACTATATAAT